ATATAATAAATGTGTCTGACTGAAAATTGAGCCAATCCCTGGTTGCATACATTGTTGATTTCCATCCCAATGTGTTTTTGTGTTCTTTGAATAGATAATGTAATTATGCTTTGCCTAAATGAAATTGGCTTGATCTCCACAATCATCCCATAAAACAGTCACTACGTCATCATCATTGTTGTCGTAGTCATCATCATCATTCCCATTTTGTATGTAGTGGGGAGATGCTATGGTGGCTTCTAAGTACACAAATTGGAGGGGCGCCTGGGTGGCTTAGTCGTTAAGCGTCCGACTTTCGCTTGGGTCATGATCTCGCGGTTCGTGGGTTCGAGCCCCGCGTCGGGCTCTGTGCTGACTGCCAGCTCAGAGCCTGGAGTCTGTTTCAGTCTGTGACTCCCTCTCTCTCTGACCCTCCCCAGCTCACGCTGTCTCTCTCTCTCTCTCTCTCTCCTAGAAAAAAAAAAATTTAAGTATACAAATTGGTGAGCTATCCCGGAAGTCCTGAAATTGAAACGCTCATAGACCAAATCACTAATTTGTTAAGTCAACTTAAAATCTACAGTGAGAAGCAAAGGGAATGGGATTGAATAGGTTAAGATATTTAGCGCAAAAAGGTGAAAGGACCACATTGCCTGTGCTTTCCCCGAGGTTTGTGTAAGTCCTGACTCTCTCTCTTTGCATCACCTTCTTTATCACAGATGGTGTTGTTACAAGGACCAGAGTCAAAAGCAGGCAAGAAAGTTTAAAGATGGAAGATCTGTGGTGCCAGATGCTTGCTCTATTGGAGAGAAGAAGAGGCAAAGATACATGGCTACAGTCATAGCTCTGTGATAACCTTATGAGCATCAGCATGTATTTGAAGCAGAAAGCAAGTGGACTAGCATGGATAATACCAATGGGTGGCCATTTTGGGATAGATAAAGATGATCCATGCTTTACGAGTATTTAAGGTTTATTTTGCTTTCCATCTCTTTCTATCTACAAGTAACACTCATTTTTCATTCTTTTAATGTGTTTAACACATAAATGTCTACTTTATGTTTAGCATGTCCTATAGGTCTATGATATACTTACTATCTATAGCTAACATTTCTTTTGAGTTTCATCCATCCTGTGTTTCTCTAGTCCTTTAAGGCAGAATCAAAAATTCTTAAAGAATGCAGCAAAAACACATTTATATAATGGATGAAGCACATATCGGAGGCGCAAGACCATTAAACCACTTGCCCACGATCCTCACATTTAGTGCATGGGAGAGTCAGGGGTTCAAATATAAGAAATGTAGCTCCAGAGCCTACTTCTTAACTACCATCCTATATTGATTTCTAATTTGCCTGAGAAAACACAGCCAGTAAGTCTGACCTCAAGTCCAATGCTCTTTCCCCTAACTACTCTTTATTCTAAGTATCTTTGTGTCTGGAGACCTCTCTTGTTCCTCTCTTCTGTTCTTATCACCAAGCGTAGGGCCTCCACAAATACTTGTTGACTAAGATCGCATTTTAACTTTGCTTTTCTTTTGGGTTAAGTTTAAGTGGCCTGAATAATACCAATGTAACATTCAAGAAAAGTTAACTTTTGGCAATTAAAGTTACAGTATCTATGGTATTTGATTTTAAACAGAATTAACCTGAAGAGGTATCTAGTTGCTAGAGAGCAAAAGATAAGGATCCAGGAACTGAGATCTAGCTCTGATTGTGAAACTGACCCTTTCAAAGGGATTAAGTTGTTTCTCTGTGCTTCATTTTCTTCAGTAGGAAAATGGCCCTAGTAATTCCTATCTACCCTTTTCACTAGGAGCTGTTACATTTACTATTCTTCCTGTTACTAGCATGCCATTAAAAAAAATGGTTTCTGGGGTGCCTGGTGGCTTAGTTGGTTAAGCGTCTGACTTCAGCTCAGGTCATGATCTCATGGTTCATGGGTTTGAGCCCTGAGTCAGGCTCTATGCTGACAGCTAAGATCCTGGAGCTACTTCAGATTCTGTGCCTCCCTCTCTCTCTCTCTGCCTTTCCCCCTCTTGTGCACATGCACAAAAATAAATAAATAAACATTAAAAATGGCTTCTGCATTATAGATTAGAAATTTTAAAAAATGTAATAAAGTCTATCTATACATTCACACAATCAATTAACATATTTACATGGTTAAAAATAAAAAATGTTTATAACCTTTTAAAGATGCAGTTTATACTACATTTAGACATATTTCACATTCTGCAGTTTGCTAAGTATTTTACAATTTCCCACATCCATTTGACTTTTCTTTTTTTCTAATTTTTTAATGTTTATTTCTTTTTGAGAGAGAGAGAGAGAACGAGCAGGGAGGGGCAGAAAAAGAGGGAAACACAGAATCAGAAGCAGGTTACAGGCTCTGAGCTGTCTACACAGAGTCTGACACGGGCTCAAACTCACCAACTGTGAGATCATGACCTGCCTGAGTTGAAGTCAGACACTTAACTGACTGAGCAACCCAGGCGCTCCTCCATTTGACTTTTCTAAAAGAAAAGAAAAATTAACAGCCTTCTGAAAGAAGCTAATATGAATTGTTATGGTCCTAAAATATTTTTAATGCCTCTTTTTTGTTCCATACTTATATATTTATGTATGTCTTTATTTATTTTTTACCACTTATAAAAATTTTGCTCCTGTCTAGGAAGTTGGCAATAATCTCAATATATGCAAGACCATGGGGAACGCAACATGATAGTTGCTCAACCCTGGCTGCCTAATAGAATGAACAGGGAAACTTAAAAACAAAAAACTGATGTTTCAGCTCTACATCAAGCCATTTAAATCAGAATCTTGAAGGATGGGACTTGGGTATCTGTATTTTTAAAAGCTTTCCAGATAGTCTACAAAATACTTGACCAGTACTCTTCAAAACTATCAAGGTCATCACAAACAAGGGAAGTCTGAGAAATTGCCACAGACCAGAGAAAGGAGACATACTAATTCAATGTAAATAAGGTATCCAAAGCGGGATCCTGGAATGGAAAGAGGATGTCAGGGGGAAATTACTGAAATCCAAATATACCGTGGAGTTAATAGCAATGTGTCGATATTGGATCCTTCATTGTGACATATGTACTGTACTAATATAAAACGTTAACAATAGGGGAAATTGGGTGAGGAGTATATGGGAACTCTGTATTCCCTTTACAACTTTTTCATAAATCTAAATCTGTTCTAAAATAAAAATTTAATTTTAAAAATCTGTCTAATATGGAGCTGGAGTTGAGACTCACTCACATAGCAACATTGCATCAGAAAACAAAAAGTCCTTTTAAAATATTGAGCCTAATTGCAGTTGCCAGCACGTGTCATCCTAAAACCTGACTCTCAAAAACAACAGGCTATTCTCTTAGGACAGAATACATTTCTAGAGGCACTTTGTGGAAAACAAAAATGGACTAATTACAATAAACATAACTGTAATAATCAAAACCTGAATAGGGGTACCTGGGTGGCTCAGTGGGTTGAGCATCTGACTCTTGAGTTTGGCTCTGGTCATGATCTCATGGCTAGGTTAGTGGGATTGAGCTCCACATAGGACTCTGCTCTGACAGCGCAGAGCTTGCTTGGAATTCTCTCTCTCTCCCTCTCTCTCTGTCCCTTCCTCACTCATGCTCTCTCTCTCCCTCTCAAAATAAGTAAATAAACATTTTTTAAAAGAAAAAACCCTGATTACTTTTGCTTTTAAGAAGCAAAAATTCAAGAAATACAAGAAATACTGCTTAGTAAGGAGAAAAAAACTGCTGCCAACCCATTACTCAGGTTAGAAAGGTAGTTTTATTTTGATATTTATGAAATATAAATATTGGGATTAAATATAATGTCTGCATTATGGTACCCTAGTCGGTTGAGAAAATTGTGAGTGATCTATTTTTGCTAAGAGTTGTTGTTTCTTATGTATAAAGGAGATTTAGACCCTACCAGAAAGTTCTTCGGTATTATTTTTTTCCCTTGTCTTGGCTCTCCCACTGTGGTAGGAAAGAGGCAAGGAAAAAAAATCCCTAGTCCTTCTTAATGAAGTCTACCTGGATTTAGCCCAGTCACAGTTCTTTTTTCATATTTATGTAAATCTCTAGAGAGAAGCCAGAATAGTGCCTAAAGAAATTACTCCACACAAGTAAGCATTTGACAAACAGCAATTTCTTGGAGATGACATTTCAAAGAGCTCCTTTTAAATTTTTTGTGTTACGTTTTGTTTCTAAAAACGTCACCAATTTATAATTCAGAATCTTTATGCATCATATAATAAACAGTATTAACAGCGTGTGGTCACCCGTGTTACAGTTCAGCTCCCTAACTTCATGCGACATTGGGTAAATAATTTATATTTTCTGAGCCGATCTCAGTTTGCTTTTTTTTTTTTTTTTTCTGTAAGATGCATCGTTTGGACTAAGCAGTATCCAATGCCTCTTTTTCTACTCGAACATTGAGATTTGTTGAGGACTTCAAGAAACAAACTGGAGAATTTTAGAATCTTTGGGTTCTGGTGGGCAGTATGGTATTGAAGAAACTGTTCTCATGTTTGTGATTTTAGAGTCGGAAGGGTAAATGATAGGGGCAAGAAAGCGTGCAAGCGAAGAGTAAGTTACCCATTGTAGGGTCAACTCCTGGGATTTTTCTCAGACTGGCAGATAAGCCGAGCGTTTCGCTGCTAGGCAACCGCTCTTCCTTTCAGAGAGTGGAGGACCCCAGTCGGAGGTGTCTAAGTCACTACCTCTTAATTTAGCCATGGTGCCTTCTCGAAGTTAATGAAATATGTTATCTTTTGAAAGTACACAGGTTCTGCAGCCAAGGTTTGGCAAGCCTTGTAGCCGAGTTCGGCTCGTGGTGGGTTTCTATTTCCTGCTGTCAGGCGCGATGCGGGCACCTCTCCGGCAAGGACCCCGCCGCGGCGCGTTGCCGGGCAGAGCTCGACGCCTCCTGCTCCCGGCCCCCGCCCTCCCTGGCCCCGGCCCGCCCTTCGCTGGCAACACTCCGCCGCCTTAGGCCGCCATGGGCTCGGAGATGGAGCCGCTGCTCCTGGCCTGGAGCTACTTTAGGCGCAGGAAGTTCCAGCTCTGCGCCGATCTGTGCACGCAGATGCTGGAGAAGTCCCCTTATGACCAGGTACCGGCCGGCCCCCCGTCAGCCCTGTTGATCCCGGCGAGAGGGAGAGGGCACTGGGGAGTCCCCGGGCCGCCGGGTGGGGACTCTGGGGTGAAAGGTCCAGGGCATCTGGAGGGGGACCCCCTAGAGCCATGGCCGGCGCCTCCCCGCCAGCGGCGTCCCCACGTCCCCGCCGAACCCGCGAGTGCTGTGCCAGGACCGCCCCCTCTTCAAACTTCAGCAGCCCCTCTCCTTTACGGGTCCCTCAAAGGAACACTTAAAAGTCCCGAATTTCACTTTGGTGCAGAACTTTGATAATTCATTTATACTTTCAGATGAATGGGCTCTTGAGCTCTCTGCGTGTGCGTTATTAATTTCTAAAACAATTATGATAAAGATCTGTAACTTCACTTCTCGTTAAAATAGTTGCATTATTATTATTATTATTATTATGGACCAAATGTTGTGATTCTCCCCTTTCATCCTAAGATTGTTGTCCAAGATTGAAGGAGGTATTGATTCTGGGACATGAGTGCCATTTGAGGCAGATAATGCAAGTTAGAGAAATGAGAATCTAGGAGGAGAAGAGATACATTTACTATTAGGGAAGGATGGGGAAAGAGTCTCCCTGAAAGAAGGAATGAAGGCATTGATTAAAAGACCGTAGGTAAACTACAGTAATAGTTTATTTCGGTTCTCTTAAATGAGGTGAGATGTTAAATCAAGAGAGTGAGGGTGGTCGTATGCTGTGTGTGCCAGTTACAGTGCTGGTGGCAGGTAGTTCCTGGAAGAGGCGAGGAGAAAAAACTGTGGCAGTTTGTCAGTGCTTCTAGTAAAAGTTGGTTTCCCAGCTTTTCCTCTAATGGTGTTGCCTTGGAGATGTTAGAAAAAAAAGGAAAATTGAGGGGAGTTACATAAGTGGAGGCCTATGTGTGAATACTGTTACTAGGCTCTGCCTTGTTGCATCTGCAAGTGGATGGCAGATTACCTGCTGAGGTGAACGTGTAGACTTTCAGATAGAACATCTCCCCTAGAACCATCCATGTTAGTGGGAATGCTAAGCTAGAGTCTTTTGTGTTTAGTTCACGTTAATTACTAGGACTGTGATTCCACAGGGAAGCATTTTTCCAAGTGTGTTTCTTGGCACAGTAGTCCCGCAGATGCTGCTTCCAAAAAAAAAAAAAAAAAGATTCCAAGATTCCACAATCAGCTATGTCTGGGAACTGTTACAAAATATTGACCCCTTTTCATTTTGTACAATAAAAGTTCATTAAAACTCTACGATGTACCAGACACTGCTGTAGGCACAATGGTTTGCAAAATCTTTACATGTTGTTTCCGTTTTTCCATTGAGGGTAGTTTCCATTCTGTGTTTCCACAGAGCAGTTGTCCCAAGAGCTGCTCAGTGAAAGAGTTTCCTCACTAAATTCATCTGGGAATCGTGTATTTCCTACTTAAAGATTCAAGATTCAGGGGCGCCTGGGTGGCTCAGTCGGTCGGGCATCTGACTTCGGCTCAGGTCATGATCTCACAGTCTGTGAGTTCGAGTCCCACGTCAGGCTCTGTGTGCACAGAGCCTGGAGCCTGCTTCAGATTCTGTGTCTCCCTCTATCTCTGCCCCTCTCCTGCTTGCTCTCTGTCTCTCAAAATAAAATAAAGACATTAAAAAAAAATTTTTTTTAATTCAAGATTCATACTAAAGGCCCTGGGTTCTGAAGCAAAGAAATGTAATTTTGCTTAATTTTGGCAATACAATAGTTCTGAAACTTCTTTGACCACTAGTTACTTTTTTGGCAGTGGGCAAGGGTCAGATTTCTTTACTGTAACTATACTAGGGAGATGTAGTCTCACAGTGAAATGTTATAAGCAAAGAAGCACTGTTTTTATTAATGCTTAAGATCCTATACTCTTAATAACATCTAATCATAGTGCATTCAGTACAGTACTGTGCCTGTGAATTCAGATTTAGTTTGTGCTGGGTGCTGCGGACAGGATTTTGTATGTATTCAACTAAATGACCTTTTGTTGAATGCTTACTACTTACTAATTTGTGTAAATTATAGGTATTTCTATGCTTAGAGTAACCTTGCAAAATAGGTAACAAAAATAGTAGCTGACGTTTATGGAGTATTTATGTCAGGCTTGGTTTGGAGGGTTTTAGAAGTCGTCTCATTTAACGTCTCAGCCGTTTTAGGAAATTGGTACTGTTTCACCCTTTTTTTTTTTTTTTTTTAATAAATAAACTTTTTTTTTTTTATTTCTAGGAGAGAGAGAGAGACGGTGTAAGCAGGGGAGGGTCAGAGAGAGAGGAAGTCACAGACTGAAACAGGCTCCAGGCTCTGAGCTGGCAGTCAGCACAGAGCCTGACGCGGGGCTCGAACCCACGAACCGCGAGATCATGACCCAAGCGGAAGTCGGACGCTTAACCGACTAAGCCACCCAGGCGCCCCTGTTTCACCCTTTTTATAGATTAAGTGCACTGGGGCACAAGGTGAAAAAATTTGTCCAAAGTTACAAAGTTGATAAACCCATTTCCTTTGTCCATACTGTGCTACCTCTTTGACCCTGATGTAGCCTAATTTTTCAAAGCTGTGTGTTTCTCAACTTTTCCCAGTACATTTTCCCGTCTACTGTGCCTTTTTCAAGATTTTAGCCAACTGCTAAAGAATTCTGACATATTTGCGGACTTGGATTGAAAGCTTTAGAAAGTCCTGAAGGAAGGAGACTTACCTGATTTTGATGAAGACAGTATTCTGAAACATACGTGATCTCTGGTTCCTTTTTTGGGGGGAGAGATCGATGTCTCCCTTGTCATTCTGGAGAGATGTCATTTTGGAAAGTGCATGGGCAAAGCAGAAGTGTTTTCATTAATGATGAAGTTGGGGCTGTAGAGAAGATCTTGCTCCTTTTTATCTAGGAAGAGTAAGTTCAACAGATTTAGGACTTTACAGTCTCCTGAATTAGTAGCTAAATAAGATAGGGGCTTGTATCTTTTTGGTTTCTTGTGCAGCTGTCATTAGGCCTTATTGGCCATCCTGAAAGATTAAAGACTTATTACAAGGAATGTTTGGTAGAACCGTGATTTTGATAATGATAATGAAGAAAAAAAGACACAGGTTTATACTGGGAAATACTGCTCTTGTCATTAGTTAACCATTTGACATGGTTAAGATCATTAGGGCAGTAAGTTTTGTTAGGTCCTGGCCTAGTCTCTTGTCCAATTTGCTGTGGATTTGAAATAACCACCAGTAATGTGATACATAATTCATGTCTGCTGCCATAGACATTAAAAAAGGTTATTCTTCGTTACTATTTTCTTGTTATGAGCAGGGGTTGATATGTTCCGCTCCTATAAATATCAGAGTAGACCTAGGAGAATGATTACCAGATCCAGAAGAAATTTATGATATATATTCTTTTCCTGTGTAATCCTTTTTATTTATTTTGCTGAGGTAGTTTATTTAAGTAGGAACTGTATATATAGCCAGAACAATGAGCAGTATTTCATCAGGAATAGACGTTTAACTTGATGTTACCTTACCAAACTGGCTTTAAAAACATTTTTTAAAGTTTTATTTATTTAAGAGAGAGAGAGAGAGAAAGAGAGAAAGAGAGAGAAAGAGCACGAGCAGGGAAGGAGGAGGGAGAGGGAGAATGAGAATCCCAAGCAGGCTCCAGGAACTCATAAACTGAGAGGTCATGCCCAAGCCAGAATCAAGAATCTGATTCTTTTAACTGACTGAGCCACCCAGGCGCCCCACCAAACTGGGCTTTTGATAGCTGGATAGGGCTGCTGAAAAGTTTATCGAGTTCACTCATATGTCAGTTATTTTTTGACTCAACCTTTAAATACTATGTTTTCACTCTGTGCTTTTCTTTTTTAATTAAGTAATTCTTATTTTTTTAAATTTGAATATAGTTGACACACAGTGGTACATTAGTTTCAGTTGTCAACAGAAAGATTCAGCTTCTCTGTACTAGGCTGTGCTCACCCCAGATGTAGCTGCCGTCTGTCACCATACCATGCTATTACAACATCACTGACCATATTCCCTATCCTGTGCCTTTTATTCCCATGACTTATTCATTTCATAACTAGAAGCCTGTATCTCCAGCTCCCCTTCACCCATTTTGACGACCCCCTCCATCTCTACCCTCTGGCAACCATCTGTTTGTTGTCTGTATTTGGGTCTGTTTCTGCTTTTTGTTCATTTGTTTTGTTTTGTTTTTTAGATTCCACATGTAACTGAAATCATATGGTATTTGTCTTTTTCTGTCTGACTTATTTCACTTAGCGTAATACCCTCTAAGGTCCATCCATGTTGTTGCCAATGGCAGGATCTCATTCTTTTTATGGCTGCATAATATTCCATTGTACATATATACCATATCTTCCTTATCCATTCATCTCTCTATATGGTTGCTTCCATATCATGGGTATTATAAATAATGCTGGATAAACACAGGGGTGCATCTGTCTTTTCAAGTTCGTGTTTTCATTTTCTTTGAGTAAAACCCGGTAGTGGAATTGCTGGATCATATGGTATTTCTATTTTTAATTTTTAAAGGAACCTCTGCGATTTTCCACAGTGGCTGTACCGACTTACATTCCCACCAAACAGTACGTGAGAGTTCCTTCACCAGGTCCTTTTCTTAGCACAAATGTGTGTATTTTGTACCCATTTGTTATTTCATATTGGAAAGATTTCCTGCTATGATTTTCCCCAGCTGGAAGAAATCCTGCCTTTTTCTTAATTAAAACACTTAAAATCATTTATGTTGGAGTGCTGATACAATTAATGAAGAGTTTTAGGAGGCTTAAGAAGTTTACTTTGATGAAAAACTTGAAAATTCTCTTTCCTTCCTGTAGAACCTGAATCCAGGGTGGCATATGTGTACAGTGGGACACAGAGCCTGGCACACGGGGGCTCTCAGTATGTATTTGCTGGATGAGGGCATTGATCATATTCACGTGCGTGTGGTTTTTTATAATGTTTACTTTGAGAGAGAGTGAGAGAGTG